AAGTTATCTAGAATCTGGATACAAATAGTTGTTACTTCTAGAGATTCCCAAAGTGTTTTATTAGTGTAAATAATAAATACGTAATGCATAATATGTAAAAATACATAAATACATAATATTTAAATAATAAATACATAATGCATAATATGTAAAAACACATAAATAATAAATACATAATATTTAAAATAATATATTTCTAAAAGTACATTTCAAAGATCTAGAGTAAAATAGAGCTTATCTCAAACACCTTCTTATTCCTGTTTCCATCCCAGCATGTAATAGGATGAAGAGTACTTAGTAAACAGTCATTCCTTGTTCAATCCATGACTGCTTACTGTGTCCAAAACTGGACTGATACCTTGGGGTTATGGAAAGCACTTAGTACTAGCAAGAGAGCATAAGTACCTACCCTAAGGTACTTATGTTCTAATGGGTTCATGAAATTAGATTTTTTGTGACCAGCATTTTTTAAAAAGAAATGAAATAGCAAATATCAGAATGCGTCACATAGAGTAATGATGTGTAGGTTTGTGAAGATTTTATTTTAGTTACATAAATTTATGTATGATAGATTGTGACATTAGATTTCCTACTGTGGCTTTGGGTCAAAACATTTTGGAAGCCACCATTTTAGAGACACCACTCCAAATCTTGCCCAAAAGTGAGAAAAGTGGAGTACTTGGATGAAAGGGTGTGAAAGGTTATAATCAGGGGTGGCCAAGGTGGCTCATGCATGTAATCCAGCATTTTGGGAGGCTGAGGTGAGCAGTTCACTTGAAGTCAGGAGTTCGAGACTAGCCTGGCCAACATGGTGAAACCCCAGCTCTACTAAAAATACAAAAAAACCTAGCTGAGTGTGGCAGCGCATGCCTGTAATCCCAGCTACTTGGGAGGCTGAAGTAGGAGAACCACTTGAACCCAGGAGGCAGAGGTTGCAGTGACCTAAGATTGCATTTCAACCTGGGCAACAGAGCAAGACTCCATCTAAAAAAAGTTATAATCAGACATGAGATGAAAATGGTAAGATTGGCCTTGAACGCCATGCTAAAAAGTGTGGTGGTGGGGAAGTTAGAAAGGCTTTTATTGGGGAAGGCAAGTATTTAAGTTTTTTGAATACCTAGTATATTTCTCTGGTTCAAAGCCCCAAAAGTATTGCAGAGCATGTAGTGAAAAGTCTCGCTTTCACCCCATCCTCCAGTCCCCCAGTTAGTTAGTTCTCTTTGTGACAGATATTATTAGTTTTTTGGGTATCTTTCCAGAGATGTTTTATATTCATAAAAAGGCTGTGTATGTTTTTATTTTGTCCCTTTTTTACATAAATGATAGCAGACCATGTACCACATAGTTCTGTTTTTTTGTTTGTTTATACCTATTATGGGATTGCTCCATCACAGTACAGGAAATGCTTGATGGAAGGTTGTTGAGGAAGGAAAATGACTAGATCTGGTCTATAGGTTAAGCAGTCAAGGCTAAATTAGAAAAACAGAATGTTGCCTTCGAACTTGACCTCAAAACTCACCTTAGATGCTCCTGCCTTTCTTGCCTTAAAATTCTTAAACCACCCTCCAGCTAAACACAGGTGAGACTGTGTACTGTAAAGCCCAGCTTAATTTTCGATTTCTCACTATTTCCACTAACTTTTATCTGTTTCCCTGTGGGTCTTTGGGACTCTGTCCCTTTACCTCTTTCCAGGAAGGCTTTTCTGACTTGCCCTCCCTTAAATGCTGGGTTAGGGGGCCTTATCTCTCTTATCCTCATCATAGCATCTAGCACACTCAATTGTAATTACATGTTTTCTGGCAATTTTTCTCATACTAGAAGCCCTTTCTATGTACAGGACACGTTGCTAGAGTTTTTTTGAATACTTAATGTATTCACTTGGTTCAAAGCTCAAAAAGTATTAAAGAAACTTATAGATAGATGACCACACAATGTCTTTCTGTCATTAAGGAGTCAGAGAGACAAGATATACACATAAAAAGATAAGTAGTTTTGTGTAAGAAGTATCCAGTGGTTGGGAGATGTATAGTGTTGACTCAATGACTAAGTGAGTGTGGTATGATGGGTGCGAGTGCCATGTGAGTCACTGGTAGCTGAGTCAATTAAGAAGAACTTATTGGAAGAAGTGGGACCTAACTGAGTAGTAAGGGAATGTGGTATCTTGTGTGAGAAGATAAGTAGATGTGCCGAGAACTGTTTTATGTGAGAAGGGAACATAGCTGAAGGAAATGGGATAAATAGGACTTAGAGAAGTACTGGAAGTGGGCGATGTGGAAAGATGAAGTACGCACTGAGTCCTATGATGGAATCTAAGCAGAGAGATAAGAAATGCTGAGAAAACAGTCATTCATTCAAAAGGAACGGTGAGATGCAATGAGAGGAATACTAAAGGTGGAAAGGGGACAGTCCACAAAGGACCTGTGTGAACAGAGAGGCACATGAAATAAACATAAATTCCCTTAAGCATCTGTGGCCTAGCCTCAGGTCACATGAAAAGTGGGCAGGCCAGCAGGGTCTCAGCTTTCTTATTCCTCCATAGCTGCTCAATCTAATTGACCTGCTGTTTCCTGATGAGGTGTGGTGACTTGTCTCTTGTGGTGTAAGAGGTTTCCTTTAAGTTCTCTTCCCTTCCCCTTCCCCTTCCCCTTCCCCTCTCTTCTCTTTTTGAGACAGAGTCTCACACTGTCACCTGGGCTGGAATTCAATGGCATGATCTTGGCTCACTGCAACCTCCATCTCCCGGGTTCATGTGATTCTCCTGCCTCAGCCTCCCGAGTAGCTGGTGCACACCACCACACCCGGCTAATTTTTGTATTTTTAGTAGACACGGGGTATCACTATGTTGGTCAGACTGGGTCTTGAACTCCTGACCTCATGATCTGCCTGCCTCAGCCTCCCAAAGTGCTGGGATTACAGGCATGAGCCACCACGCTCTGCCAAACTTTCTTTTCATTTGCTAATTTATTTACTGGACCTGCATATTGGGAATGTGACTTCTAACTACGTATTTTTAAAATTCCACTCCAACCCACAGAACTTGGATGCCCCCCTAGAGTCCATTTTAATGGAATTTTTTTCTTCTGTTGCGGTGAGAAAGGAATCTTGGTGTTATATTTAAGTCATTACCACTCAGAATTATAGATTATATCAGAGTTTTCCCAAAGAGTTTTACCATGCCTGTTATTTTACATTTGAAAGTCTTTTATATACGCATAACAGGAAACTTACTGAAATCTGAAGGTCATCCTTCTGGAATCTGAGTATAAAAGAAGACCAGTTATTACAGTGAAGTAAAAATGCAGTCATTTCTTTTGTAATTGGTGTTAATTCAGTTGTACAAATTTTGTTTATTTTATTTTTTATTCCTTTTTGAGATGGAGTCTCTCTCTGTCGTCCAGGCTGGAGTGCAGTGGTGTGATCTCGGCTCACTGCACCCTCCACCTCCTGGGTTCAAGCGATTATCCTGCCTCAGCCTCCTGAGTAGCTGGGATTACAGGCGTGCGCCACCATGCCCGGCTAATTTAGCGGAGATGGGGTTTCATTATGTTGGCCAGGCTGATTTTGAACTCCTGACCTCAAGTGATCCGCCCGCCTCAGCCCCCCAAACTGCTGGGGTTACAGGCGTGAGCCATTGCGCCTGGCCACAAATTTTAAAATCTATATTTAACTATTATTAAGCTAAAATGTTGGAGAAAATTCCTTGGTATTATATCATACTCATTATCATACTGCTAGCAATAATTTCTGCTTTGTTCTGTTCAGGAGAACCCAAGAACGTTTAAGTAAATTTTAGTTCAATTGTAGTAGGACTGCCTGATCCATCTGATACATAAACAATAGGTGAAATTCTTTTTTAAACCCAAAATGAAGCTCTGCTTGTGAAAATGATTAACATTTTAAACAACAAGACAGCTTTTTTATTTTTGAGACAAAAAAAACTTTTATTTTTATTTTATTTTTTATTTTTGAGAAAAAAAAAACTTTGTCCCCAGGCTGGAGTGCAGTAGCATAATCATGGTTTACTGCAACCTTGAACTCCTGGGCTCAAGTGATCCTCCTGCCTCAGCGTCCTAAATAGCCGGGACTACAGGTGCACACCACTGGGCCCAGCTAATTTTTAAATTTTTTGTAGAGATGGGGTCTTGCTTTGTTTCTGTATTAGTCATGGTTTTCTTAGAGGGACAGAACTACAGAACTAGTAGGAGATATATAAAGGGGAGTTTATTAAGTGTTAACTTACATGATCACAGGGTCCCCCAATAGGCTGTCTGCAAGCTGAGGAGTAAGGAGAGCCAGTTTGATTCCCAGAACTGAAGAACTTGGAGTCCGATGTTTGAGGGCAGGAAGCGTCCAGCACGGGAGAAAGATGTAGGCTGGGAGGCTAGGCCCTTCTCTCCTTTTCACGTTTTTTGGCCTCTATATTCACTAGAAGCTGATTAGATTGTGCCCACCAGGTTAAGGGTGGATCTGCCTTCCCTAGCCTACTGACTCAAATGTTAATCTCTTTTGGCAACACCCTCACAGACACACCCGGGATCAATACTTTGTATCCTTCAATCCAATCAAGTTAACACTCAGTATTAATCATCATAGTTGCCTAGGCTGTTCTTGAAGTCCTGGCATCAAGCAGTCCTCTCACCTTGGCCCCCCAAATGTTGGGATTACAGGCACGAACCACTGCACTCAGCCCAAGTAGGATTTTCTTTGAGCGGCATGTTGGCACTCAAAAAGCTTCAGATTTTTGAGCGTTTTGGGTTTCAGATTTTTAGATTAAAGATGCTCAACCTGTAATTTGTTCTTTTCTGATACAGTGCATTGGTTATGAGAAAGTTTGCCACCCACATTGATATATTTTGTTGTTTTACCTTGTGTCTTAAGCGGATGAATAACCCTTTTTAATAAGCTGATGTGGTAGAAATATCAAATTAATAAGAATCTGATGTAAATAGTTGAGAAATCCTTCATCCTCTCCTTAAGAAAGTATGTGTTTAACCTTGCAGGCTGTAGAAAATCTCTGTTCTTACAAGATTTCTGCAAACTTGTACAAACAGCTGAGACAGATCTGTGAAGATCACATCAAAGCACAGATTCATCAATTCAGAGAATATCCTTTTTAAAACAAAAAATCATAAATAGTTTTGTCTTCCTCTCTGTCCCCTACCCCTCACTGTTTAACCCTGCTTGAAGTAGAATGCCTGTATTTTGTAGATTTGTCATTTTTTTGTGCCTTGTGTTTCTCGAGAAAAAAACACATTTTGACTTTTCAGCCTTAATTCGTGTCCAGAACTACATGTGGTATTCATGTAAATAAGATGTCCTTATGTCTTTACCCTTTTTGCCCTAACAGATTTCCACTTGAGGAAAAATAATCTAAGGAAATCGTAAACTGAAAACATGATGTTCAGTTCTGTCTAAGACTTGTTTTTAAAAGTGCTTTTTAGTATAAACTATGTTTTTCTTTTTTTTTTTTTTTTTACAAATTAGGAAATAGCACTTTGGTGCATAATCAAGTGCCATTTAGTTTCATTTAGTATACAAAGTATTCATATTTAAGACTAATGTGCTGTCTGTCACATGGCACATATGACTTGTACCAAATGCCTTAAAATATCCTTAACATATGTTTCAGGGATTCATTGGATAGTGTTCTTTTTTTAAAGAAGATTGATAGATGCTGGCAAAACCATTGCAGACAAATGGTAAGCTGGAAAAAGTATTGTATTTCAGCTAAACATTGTATTAATAGTTAAAAACATTTCTTCAAATACAGGAATGTTAGTTTTTAAAACTTAGCAATAGGGAGATTGCTTCAATATCTGTTCCTTTTTTGTATTGGAAACTAGTTTTGGTTGAGTTTTCTATTTTAAAACCACAAGTTACAGGTAAACCTGCATTTCAGAATGACTTGTACCTTAGGTTCATCTTTATTTTTGTCACACTTACCAAAAATGTATTTATCTCATTCATTAAAAAGCTACATTTTGTCTGTCACTCTTGTTTTTTTTCTCTCTTGATGGTTATCCTGTCCACTATTTGATTACCTGTGAAGGTGCCTGATGGTCCTGTGTTTTATTCAGATGACAACCTTTTCCATTTTTCTTAGTCTGGTTTATACCTTATATTCTACAGATTAAAATCTTAAAATCCATCACCCCCAGCCCCACCCCCTGCCAAAATAAACCCTCACATATGCAATGTAAGGCAGCTTCATTCCCTAGCACTGTGTCTCAGGAAGAATTATATGAGTGTCCGCTTGATTCCCTGTTATTATTTTCAGTTATTTCTCAAGTAGTAAAGAAGTCAGAGGGCCATTTTAAGTGTCTTTTCTAGAAAACACAACAAGGATTAAGACTGTTGAATAATAAAAATGATATGGGCATATTCTTAGATAGATGTGTTTATCTGCATGTTTGATCCTAGTAATCTAATATATATACAGACGAACCCTTCAGTTTTATTCTTATTGAAAGCAAATATTTCAGCTTCACAACATACAAAACTTGATTTCTTTTTTTTTTTTTTTCATTGGCAGATCATGATCAGGAGCATTTTTTTGTTTCTGGATAGAACTTACGTTCTTCAGAATTCAATGCTACCCTCCATTTGGTAAGGATGCCAGAAAAACATGAAAAGATTGTTCCAAATCATACTCAAATCTTAATTACACTAATGAAAGAGTATAAGCTATACTGTGAATATTCTAAAAATTCACATTTGGCTTCTAGACTTTCCTTTGTAACGGTTTTATCTTCCTAATAATATGTTGCCTATGCTAATATTGAAGACAGCTAACATTCCCTGGGCATATATTAATTTATGAAGAAGTTTTTTGTTAGCCAAGAGGACTAAAGTTTGCTCTGGAATGTCTATGATTGTGATTCATTTTGCTGCTGATCATCAAGAGTTCACTCATTTAACATTATGGAAAAGTATGTGTACACGAAAATAGAATAGTATCATGAACTCTTCCCCCTATCATGTACCTATCATCTGCCTACAGCAGTGATCAGAATTCACTGATTCTTGAGTATTGAAGCCAGTTAATAAATAACCAAATAAGCTTTCAATACCAGTACAGTGAAAACTGTTTTATGTCTTTGAACTAATTTTGTCTCTTGATTTGAGCAAGGAAGAAATCCACAAAAAGAAATAATACAACAAAACTTAGTTATGGAGGAAAATAGGAATTTAGCTTCAATTCTCAGTAAAGACAAAATGAGTTTCCTATGTGCTTTACTCTAATAATGTTATTCAAAATTAAATGTGTGGATTTTATTATTTGACAATTGCTGCTTCAAAGCCCTGGAGCCCTAATTAGCATGGGAACATGTGGTAAGAAGTAAAGCAAACCTCTTCAGAAGTCGTATTGTCAATTAATTTAGGTTATATGTGTTTTTTATTTTAGGGACATGGGACTGGAGTTATTTAGGGCTCATATTATAAGTGATCAGAAAGTCCAGAATAAGACAATTGATGGTATTCTTCTCTTGATTGAGAGGGAAAGGAATGGTGAAGCAATTGATAGAAGTTTACTTCGAAGCCTTTTAAGCATGCTGTCTGATTTGCAAGTAAGTTAACTACTACACATACTATACAGAGCTGATTGCTTTTCCTAGTTTTTTTTTCCCGATGTCAGACAGGTGATGTGCTGATGTCATAACAATGTCTGAAGGAAGCACATCTCATACATGAGCATAAAAACCCAATCATCATGCTTCTAAACTACAAAAGGATCCTAGCTTGATGTTTAAAAACCAAATTCATAATGCTGTTTACATAGACATAGAGAACATTTAGTAAATATTTACTAAATAAATGATCTCCTTCATTTTGTTGCCCCTCCCAGATTTATCAAGATTCTTTTGAACAACGATTTTTGGAAGAAACTAACCGGCTCTATGCAGCTGAAGGCCAAAAATTAATGCAAGAAAGAGAGGTATTTAAAAATCATGACTAATACATTCTCACTGTCTCTCACAATAGACCTTACTTTGTAGAATATAAGCTTCCCTTTGCATTTATCTTCCCAACATTGTGATGCTCTTCTCTCACTTAGGTGCTCCTTTCTTTTCTCTCTTCTTAAAGGCCAGAATTCTGGATCATAAACTCTACCTATAATTTTTACATATGATTCTACCCTGTCACATTTGACAGGGCCGCTTCCAGGATCTTTTGGACTTGACATTTTCTGAGTGATTTATGGGGAGGAAAACAATAATATAAAAAACTATCTTTGTAGGTTCCTGAATATCTACATCATGTTAACAAACGTCTTGAAGAAGAAGCAGACAGACTTATTACTTACTTAGATCAGACCACCCAGTAAGTATTACATGCTGAATTTAATAGTCTTAAACTGTCGTTAAATCACTTGCAGCACTTTAGCCATCCTAAACATGTTAGAAACTGTTTTCAGGTGTGATTTGAAGTGTTAACAGTTGTTTTCATAATATAAACTTGAAGTTATTCTTTTCCCTAATTAATTAGTTTTCATCCAAGGATTCGATTAGTAGGGGTGGGTGGGGGGGTGTGTGTGTATGTGTGTGTGTTTAGAATGTAATTTAGAAATAATATTAGAGGCTGATGTGACCTTTAAACTCTTCAGGCCAATTAAAATTCAGTGGATCCCCCCATTTCTGTGCTTTCCTAAGTGTTAATATTGTCAGTCGGGGGGCTTCTGTATATAGTACTTCTTTACCTTCCTAATAAAAGTAGCAAAACTTGGAAAAAACCAACTACAGCAAGGTCTTGGAGATATTTATTTCATGATGTAAACCAAATTCTAAAATATGCGGTGGTTTTTAAAAATTTTTGCCCGTCAGTTCCTTTATGTTTTTTTCTTTAGGTGTAAAGTATAGTAACTCTGAGCACCAATAAATTTATACATAGGATAGGAATCTTGAAATTAACATAAAATGAACTATTTGATTCCCCCCCCCCCCCCCCCCAGGAGAGGCTTTACATTTTCCGGAAGTCAAACATCAATAATGCTAACCTTTTTTTTCCTCGTAGGAAGTCATTAATTGCTACTGTAGAAAAACAACTTCTAGGTGAACACTTAACAGCAATTCTTCAGAAAGGTAATTGGCAATTTGTAAATAAGAGATTGCTTTTTAAATGGTAGTGGCAAACTAGTAGGGAATTTTTAAAGATGTTGCCCTTTTAAAAGTTTGACAGCATGTGGCTGCATTTCTGAGGATGGACACAATCCTTATTAATCACAGTAAACTTCCTGGAGGTGCCAGTTTTCTTATCTGAAAATACAGGAACTAGAAGAGAGGGATCCACAAATACCAATAAAAAAACAGTAGTTGATACGTGCCTGTAGTATCAACTACTTGGGAGGCTGAGGCAGGAGGATTGCTTTAGCCCAGGAGTTTGAGGTCAGCCTGGGCAACATAGTGAGACTCTCGTCTCTTTAAATAAAATAAAAGAAAAAAAGTGGGAAATTCTTGACTTAATATGTTAGCTTTCAGTAAGGAAAGGTATTCCTTTTTACACTAAAGTGGTGAGGGTTTTTTGTTGTTAATGGCGTGTCAAACCAGGCACTTCTAATCCAAAGTGAATTTGGAGTACACCCTGCATTTTACTTTGAGAATGCCACAAATAGGTAAAAACTTTACCTTTCTCTTCAACAATATTTTCTTTGGTATAAAAATTTATGTATTTAGAAATTTAAGGCAGTTATACTGTTATTTCATCCTGAAAATCAAATATTTATTAGAGCCTCATTTAAATTTGACTTAATTTATGCATGGCTTTTGATATATCACAGGCCATATCTAATATTCTGAAATATAACTATGTACATAATATGGCTACTACATATATGAGGTATTTATAATGTATATTTATGTAAACCAGTTTTTATAAGTTTGTTTTTGCCTCTATCATGCTGAATGGCACAAACCATTATGGAGTTAACCATTTTTCTTTTTCTTTTTAATTTTTTTAACTTTTTGTATTAAAATAGAGAGGGGGAGGAGGTCTTACTATTGTGCCCAGGCTGGTCTTGACCTCCTGGGCTCAATCGATCCTCCTGCCTTGGCTTCCCAAAGTGCTGGGATTACAGGTATGAGCCACCGTGCCTGGCCTGTTTTTATTTTTATAGTGACTAAAGTCTCTATATTTAGTTTTTACCCAGAAAGATGATTGGGTTTAATTCAAAGGAAATCTTAGAACTCACATACAGACTAGTCATAGTTCAAACCAGTATCACAATAATGATTATAACTCAAATTTTATTAAAATGTCTGATAATCTTGTTCACTTTTTTGTTCACTATATTTTAATGCCAAAATGTTTTAAAATACAGGTTTAAATAACCTCCTTGATGAAAACCGAATTCAAGATTTGTCTCTTCTGTATCAGCTCTTCAGTAGAGTTCGAGGTGGAGTTCAGGTTCTTTTGCAGCAGTGGATCGAATATATCAAGGTATTAACAATTTACCTATGATTTTTCCCTCTTACAGCTTACCTACACATCAAGTGTGCATATTGGCAAGCATTTCTTGTTTGATCCATTTTTTTTTTTTTGAGACAGAGTTTTGCTCTTGTCACCCAGGCTGGAGTGCGGTGGCGCAATCTCAGCTCACTGCAACTTCTGCCTTCCAGGTTCAAGTGATTCTCCTGCCTCAGTCTCCCAAGTAGCTAGGATTACAGGCATGCACCACCATGCCCGGCTAATTTTGTACTTTTAGTAGAGATGGGGTTTCAGCATGTTGGTCAAGCTGGTCTTGAACTCCTGAACTCAAATGGTCCACCCGCCTCAGCCTCCCAAAGTGCTGGGATTACAGGTGTGAGCCACCACACCTGGCCTTGATCCAATTCTTTGAAGGGAATTTTAAATTTGTTTTAAAAAGTAATTGGAATTTTGAGAAGTTCAACCTGAGAATGGTAGCTGTGTGGCGTATCAGCTGTAAAACTTGATTTATGTCTGACATGATTTCTGTCTCTACCACTTAAAGCAGTGAATGTAGAACAAGAGGACTTTGAACCCCAAATCTCTTTCCTTTCTTCAATCTTACACTAAAGCCAGATTGCCATTTTAAGGAAATTGAAAGCTGACATCTTTAAAAATAAGGAAAAGATCCCAGAAGCTTCTAATAATACCCTGTTATGATATCATATGCCCAGTGATCATTGCTTACTATTTTTGTGATTATAGATGAGTGGTTAACAGTGTGGATATTTTAGCACTTAATTTTTTTGTCCTCATTTCACCATCAGCTTTATTTTGCCAGGTGCAGTGGTGCATGCCTGTAACCCCAGCTACTTGGGAGGCTGAGGTAGGAGGATCCTTTGAGCCCAGGAGTTTGAGACCAACCTGGGCAGCATAGCAAGATTCCATCTTAAAAATAGCTTTATTTTAGTTTTTAAAGATCTTTAAATATATATGCCACTTAAATATGATTTGGGGATTGTTTTCATTTTAGACAATTCGATTCCAGTAAAAAGTGGTAATTTTTCATTTTAGGCATTTGGCAGCACTATTGTAATTAATCCTGAAAAAGATAAAACCATGGTTCAAGAATTGCTGGATTTTAAAGATAAGGTTGACCATATAATTGATATCTGCTTTCTGAAGAATGAGAAATTTATCAATGCCATGAAAGAAGCATTTGAAACGTTCATTAACAAAAGACCAAATAAACCGGCTGAACTTATAGGTATGTTTTCCAGTCCTTTTTCCAGTTGTTTAATGATGTTCTTTGAGTCATAAAATGTCAATCTGAAATTTTTACCAGGTTGTAGTATTACTAATTCCTCATTTCTTTGAGGTTGCTTAGCTGGTATATCAAGTTTGAAAAGTGTTTCTAAAAACCTGGATGTAAATACTGAAAGCCCACATGTCAAAACATAATGTGCTTTCTTTGAAAGACAGTATGTTGGACCGTATTTACCTTATTGTTTATCTGTTTTCCAAGCCTAAAGCGATTTAGAAATGAGGCAGGGTATTATTTCAAACTACAAGAAAGGGCAGCATGAACTTACAGTTGTCAGTGAAAAAGGAAAAAGTCCAGGGCAAAAATAAACCTAATAATCTGGGCCCATTTAGCATAAGGATGTGATATATACTACAGTGCTTCTCAGGTTTTTCCACCCAAGTACCCTTAGTGTCAGAGGAGGAGATAACCTGAGAAGGTCTAGGGTCCTCTGCCAAAAGGATGAAATTTTGTTGCAACCTATCTACTATTTATCCTTAAACATGTGGCAAATTTCACCACTTACTCTGTGATGTATCTGGTTTATTTTAATAGAAAAGTAATGTTTAAGATTGCTCACTATTCCTATAAAATGGACACTCCAGAAGATTCCCCATGTCTTTCCGTGGCTTTGATTATGCCCCCACAGGGCTACATGAGACCTCCCCCACAGGATATCCCGATCCTATTTTCATAAACGTCAGTATAGTGGAAAGTGCATTTGATCTGGAGTCAGAACACTTGGGTTTATGTTCAGGCCCTGATGTTATTAGCTCTATGGCATTGAACACTTGATCTCCCTGACTTTGGAGACTTTAAAAAATGCATATAAATGTCTGAAATATTGAAAAACTCAGTGTATCATACTCCTCTTTGGGTATATATAGTGCCCAGTACCTCATGTATTCCCCTGGTTATTAAACAACAAACTTTTTCCCCATTTTAGCTAAGTATGTAGATTCAAAACTTCGTGCAGGCAACAAAGAAGCTACAGATGAAGAACTTGAGAAAATGTTGGATAAAATTATGATCATATTTAGATTTATCTATGGTAAGTATTTACTAATGTTTTAATACTTTTCTTTTAAAATAGCACTCAACGCCAGGCGCGGTGGCTCACGCCTGTAATCCCAGCACTTTGGGAGGCCAAGGCAGGCGGATCACGAAGTCAAGAGATCGAGACCATCGTGGCTAACACGGTGATACCCCGTCTCTACTAAAAATACAAAAAATTAGCCAGGCATGGTGGTAGGTGCCTGTAGTCCCAGCTATTCGGGAGGCTGAGGCAGGAGAATGGCGTGAACCCAGGAGGCAGAGCTTGCAGTGAGCCAAGATCACACCACTGCATTCCAGCCTGGGCGACAGAGCAAGACTCCATCTCAAAAAAAAAAAAAAAAAAAAATAGCACTCAACAGAGAAGCTAGCAAGTATATTCAACCTGGAGGGAATATTTATTTGGGAATTACAGATTTAAAATTGTTTTTAATTCACTGGGGGGATACATGAGGAATGTTACCTGATTGTCCTATGCTTTGACTCTTGTATTAAGTGCCTTGATTTTTGCTACTTGGCTTAATCTCTTAAATATTGGCACCAAAGCTACCAGTCCACAAAAGCTTTTCTGAAGAAAAGTTAGTGCAGTCAAGACAGTTCCCATGCAAAAAAGTTTTACAATAAAGACTTTGAAATATCTGGCACAAAAATGGATCTCTACTGCTTCTTGCATTTAACAAACTTAGATAAAATGTATAAAGTAAAATAACTTGGAATAATGGTGTGCTTTATTAAAGCACTTTGAAGCAATTTTGTCAGAACTTTTTATTGGAATATTATAAATTTTGCATTTTTTTTTTTTTTTTTACATAGGCAAGGATGTTTTTGAGGCCTTCTATAAGAAAGATTTAGCCAAGCGCCTGTTAGTCGGGAAGAGTGCGTCTGTAGATGCTGAAAAATCAATGCTGTCCAAACTTAAACATGGTAGGTTTCTCATTCTTTCTGTTCCTTTTCTTTGATTTCTGAAGGAGAATGTTAGCTTCTTACCCTTTCAATCGATTTCCTCTTTTGTCAGTCGTGTCTATGTATATATGATGAAAACATAAATTGAGCAAGCTCCTGAGGTTTCCAACTTATTGTACATATATCCAGAGTTGTTGTGTTTTTTAAGATAAAGCATTGTTCTTGGTTTTATTATTTGTATAAAAATTTCCCATTTATTTTATACCTAAATAGTAGATAAGGTTACTACAGGATTAAAGAGTTTGAATTAATGGGGCATACACTTTGGGGTAAGGATTTCTTTTTATTCTTATGAAAGTTACAGATCATACTAAAGTAAGTTTTGTATTTCGTGTTTCCCACTTTTAAACCTCTTTTGTTTTTACCACTTTAAAATATTATACATGTACAAACATCTTTAATAGAATGCGGAGCTGCTTTCACCAGCAAACTTGAAGGAATGTTTAAAGACATGGAACTTTCTAAAGACATCATGATTCAGTTCAAACAGGTAAAAGTGAGTTAAACTCTTACTTAATTCCTCGAACTTAGTTATATTTAGTTATCCGCTTGCTGTGATTTGTACTGAAGAGGATAAATAGAAACGTGTTTGTTGTAATTACTTCATGGCAACTGAGGTGATATTCACAGTAGAAAAAAAATCATTGGTGAAATATAAGTATATTTGACCTACTTTAGGATTTATTTTTAACAAATACCCAGAATAACACAAAAATAAAAATAAAATGTATTGAACTGAAGTCAGTACAAGAAGAGCTATAGTGGGAACAGGGCTTTCCCCAGCGTCTTATCATTTGGTGATTTGCATGTTCAGAGCTTGCAGTGGGGAGAGAGGAGAAGTGATAATGTAGCTGTATAAAGCCTTTGGGGACACTGGGGATAGAAAGCTAGATCCACAGTTTTGAAGATGTAGGTAGAAAGTAGTTTTGAAATGTTTAAGAACATAGGTGATAGTGATGGCAAGTTAGATTTTCCTCTTTTGGGGTTTTAGTAGTGACTTCTTTACCCCACAATGTTGCTAAGGTGGGAAGTGGAAGTGAAAGAATTAAGAAAAAATCAGGGTCAGTAAGATTATGAATTCTATAGTAGCTACAGAATGGGGCTTACCTGCTTTGCCCTTTTCCTCTCTTTTTCCTTCCCTACTCCAGGCCACTCCCTGCAGACAGGCAGTGGAGCAAGCGAAAAACTGGAGACTTGGGCTGGCTGGTGGGGTGAGGAATGGGGATTGCTGCAAGATGTTTAAGCCATGTAGGGGTATTCAAAGGTGGGGATTGCAGGTGGTATTGGGGAAAAGAGTGGAGGAGAGATCCTGTAACAGCCCACTGTATGTGAGAAATTATTTAAGTTGATAATGCCTCTAATGAGGTCATGTGATCCTCGTATGCCTTTGTATCAAAATGTTAACCTCTGTACTTGCCTAATGCATTTTGTGTAGGCTTCATTTAAAGTCCTCTTAATAATTGCCTTTTATTTTAAGGATGGTCAGTGTTTGCATGTAATTTCATAATGGGGAACTTCTTAAATAGGTTATTATGATACAAAATGTATGCAGTTTTAAGATCTCAGTGTGTGTTTTGATCTTATAGTATATGCAGAATCAGAATGTTCCGGGAAATATTGAATTAACTGTGAATATCCTGACAATGGGCTATTGGCCAACATATGTGCCTATGGAAGTTCATTTACCACCAGAGGTAAGAGTTACTGTTTAGAACCTGAGTTATAGGCATAGAAATCATAGCATTTCCATTTTGCTTGTCATTTAAAAATAGATACTTAGAAAAAAATAGAGACCCAGGGCCTCGCTGTATTGCTCGGGCTGGTCTTGAACTCTTGGGCTCAAGTGATCCCCCCTGCCTCAACCTTCCAAAGTGCTGGGATTACAGGTGTGAGTCACCAGGCCTGCCATAGATACTTTTAAAAGTGAATGTCAGTAAACACACCAACACCAAATACCAACTGCTTTAATATTTTACTTTTGTACTTCTAAGTCCAGTTAAGAGCCTACCTAATAATGCCAAAGTTCTGGGTTCAGGGTCAGTTTCCCTGGCTCTTCTTCCATCTTCACAGATTATACCCCTCACTCTACCTAGTTATTAAGAATTCTTGCACATATTTCACCCGTAGGTGGGATTGCTAAATGATGGATGCTTGATTAAATCTATCCTGACTCCTGGGAAACTATCTAGCCCAGGACTGAAGTCCATAAAAGGGATTAAGGCTAGACAGACAGATATTGAGAATCCTCCATGGAGATGATTATGAAGGCCCAGGGAGTAGATCTGTCTCAAAGAGGAAGAAAAAACAGCAGAGGCAGAACTTTAGAAAAGGCTCACATTTGGCAGATGGTAGAAAGAGGAACCTGTGAAGGAAACCAATGCAGAAGCAACAGTGAGATAAAGGAACCAGCATAGTGTAGAGGCACAAAAGCTGCTGCAGGTCAATGTTTCAAAAGAGTGGATGATTAAATGGTTCAGAGAGAGCAAAGGGTATAAATCCTAATAAATCCCATTTGATTTGGTGGTTGGGAGATCATTATTTTTCATCAGAGTGATTGGTGGACCTACTGGATATAGTCTTAAAATTTTCCAGAAATTATATCACATGAGGTAAGTATAAAAAGTGGTAAATGTGGTATTGGGTACAGAGCTTAAATAAAGCCTTATTTTATTTACTTTAGATGGTAAAACTTCAGGAGATTTTCAAGACATTTTACCTAGGCAAACATAGTGGCAGGAAACTTCAGTGGCAGTCAACCCTAGGACACTGTGTGCTTAAAGCAGAATTTAAAGAGGTAAGTGGATGTTCCCAAAACTTTTAGTTTTCATCTTTGTCTTTAATATTTAGGTCATCTTTCTTAACTGAAAGGTTAGGCTATTGTTTTGTGTTTTTTTTTTTTTTTCCAGACAGAGTCTCACTCTGTCACCAGGGTGGAGTGCAGTGGCGCTATCTTGGCTCACCGCAACCTCTGCCTCCCAGGTTCAAGTGATTCTCCTGCCTCAGCCTCCCGAGTGGCTGGGACTACAGGCGTGCGCCACCATGCCCAGCTAATTTTTTTGTATTTTTAGTAGAGACGGGGTTTCACCATGTTGGCCAGGATGGTCTCTATCTCTTTTTTTTTTTTTTTTTTTTGAGACGGAGTCTCGCTGTGTCTCCCAGGCTGGAGTGCAGTAGTGCGATCTCGGCTCACTGCAAGCTCCGCCTCCTGGGTTCACGCCATTCTCCTGCCTCAGCCTCCCAAGTAACTGGGACTACAGGTGCCCGCCACCACGCCCGGCTAGTTTTTTGTATTTTTAGTAGAGACAGTGTTTCACCATGTTAGCCAGGATAGTCTCGATCTCCTGACCTCGTGATCCACCCGCCTCGGCCTCCCAAAGTGCTGGGATTACAGGCTTGAGCCACCGCACCCGGCCAGTCTCTATCTCTTGACCTTGTGATCCGCCTGCCTCAGCCTCCCAAAGTGCTGGGATTATAGGCATGAGCCACCACGTTTGGCTAGTTTAAGCTATTGTTTTATAATTGTATCCTAGATATCCGCATGACGACAGTGAGAGCTTGTCATAGCTTTATGTATTTTTAAGTAATTTTAGCTGTGTGGTCTTTCCACAATTGATTTGGCCCTTCTGCAAAACGAAAAGCAATGAACTTTTCCCCTACTCTTTCCTCACCTGTAGATGAAAACTTTACACTGCCACTTCCTATTTTTATTTATTTGTTTACTTTTAGAGAACAGGGTCCCACTCTTGTCACCCAGGCAGGAGTACAGTGGCACAATCACAGTTCACTGTAACCTCAAACTTATGGGCTCAAGCTATCTTCCTGCCTCCGCTTCCTAAAGTGCTGGGATTACAGGCATGAACAACTACACCCAGCCTAACACTGCCACTTCTTGACAGAAATCTTGTTGCTGGGAGCTACGAATAGAGTGGGAGTTAAGGGGAACAGTGTGCAATATCTAATCTCAAAAAACTTTAGCTTTTCATGACTAATCTGAGCCAAACAAATAAAAAATACATTTGAAATAGTGATTTCTTGCTGCTTGTGATGAAGATCTAGAATGACACATAAGGCTGATTAATTTTCATTACTTTATTTATAAGGCTTAAAAATAAACTGTTAAAAGGTCAGCTAATCCTTCCCCCTGTTTTAGGTAGGGTCACACCTAAACCCCACACTGAAATACTGTATTACCACATCAAGTGGCTTTGCTGGATAATGCTAATCATGTTTCTAAATCTACTAATTGAAAAATGCTTTTCCTGTAAGAGATGATTTGATTAATTTTTCATGTGTTTTTTAAAAAGTGATGGCTAAACACTTTTATTTCTTCAACAGGGTAAAAAAGAACTCCAGGTCTCTCTTTTTCAAACACTGGTGCTGCTAATGTTTAATGAGGGAGAGGAGTTCAGTTTAGAAGAGATCAAGCAGGCAACCGGAATAGGTTTGTGTTGAATTGGTTGATTAGCAAACATTAAGTGTTCACTATGTGCATACCACTATGTTAAGAGGTCTGAGGGACATATTTATAGGAATAATCCCTTGCCTCAGAACTCTTTTGAGGGTTTTTTTTTTTCTTTAACGAGGGTCTCAGTCTGTCACCCAGGCTGGGGTCCAGTGGTACAATCATGGCTCAGGCTCAAGTGATTCTCCTGCCTCAGTCTCCCAAGCAGATGGGACTACAAGTGCATGCCACCATGCCTGGCTAATTTTTAAATTTTTTTTTGCAGAGACAGGGTCTCACTATGTTGCTTAGCCTGGTCTCAAACTCCTGAGCTCAAGGGATCTTCCTGCCTCAGCCTCCCTAAGTACTGCGATTACATGCATGAGCCCCTGCACCCAGCCAGAACTCTTTTTTTTTTCCCCTGTCAAGATGGAATCTTGCTGTGTCACCTAGGCTGGAGTGCAGCGGCGTGATCTCAGCTCACTGCAACCACTACCTCCTGTGTTCAAGTGATTCTCCTGCCTCAGCCTCCTGAGTAGCTGGAATTACAGGTGCCCGCCACCACACCTGGCTAATGTTTGTATTTTTAGTAGAGACGGGGTTTTACCATGTTGGCCAGGCTGGTCTCGAACTCCTGACCTCGTGATCCGCCTGCCTCGGCCTACCAAAGTGCTGGGATTACAGGTGTGAGCCACTGCGCCTGGCCAAAACTCTTAATATAACCATAGGGAAAATGGGAAATGACGCTTGAAATAATGTCAAAACCAATAAGTACTGACTAAGTGGCTTGTGGTACTGACTAAGTGTGGTAGGAGTTCAGCAAAGCAAGGGATCACTGTGGACTAGCACAATTGGGAAAGCTGTCATGAAGCAAGTGGCATTTGAGCTAGGCCTTCAAGTTTTGGTCAGGGAGAAGGCATATACAGCAAGGGGAAATATTTTGAGATGAGATTGGAGGTAGGAATGGGCACAGTATAGGCCCATGAAGAGCTTAATTGTAGCATGGAATCATGAAGAATCATGAAGAGCTTAATTGTAACAGAATAGTGAGTTAAAAAATTAGGTAGGATGAGTAGGGCCTAATTGTGGAGAACCTGATAAATCTAGCAAATGCAAACCTACATTGTAGTGTCTCAACTATGTGGCATGGTGGAAGTAATTATTTGGACCACTTACTGAAATCAATGTACAGGGCAACTGGAAGGATCAAGGGATTCCAGTTTAGACACTGTTGGGATGATTCAGGCATAAAGTGGAAGGGCCTTAGACTAGAATGAGGCCATGAAAATGGAGAAAACTCATCTCTGCGGAAGCAACAGCTAGCTATTATGTTGAGGATGAGGGAGAAGGAAAAGTTAAAAGATGATTTCAGGGTTTCCCAATTGTGAAGGTTAGTAGTATCACCACTGACAGTTGGAAAGAGGACACAGTTATATAGAGATGATGAATCAGATTTTGGACGTGACTACAGTTGATAGTAAAGCAGCCAGGCGGAATTGCCGTTTAAACGTGCAACTAGAGAGAAGTGAAATGTCATTTTGGAAGATTTGGTAGTTGCCCACATCATATGATAATTGACACCTTTAAAAGATGACTAGGGGCTGGGCGTGGTGGCTCACACCTGTAATCCCAGCACTTTGGGAGGCCAAGGCGGGTGGATCACTTGAGCTCAGGAGTTTGAGACCAGCCTGGGCAACATGGTGAAACCCCGTCTCTATTTTTTTTTCAAAAAAGAAGAGAACTAGGAAAAAAGCCATTGGCTAGGACAAAGAAGAGTTGTTGGTGACCTTTGGGAAAAAATGAAACAGTTTTAATAGGGGGATGGAGTGGAAACTAGATTGAGGTAGAATGTGGTAGTTGTTCACGCTGGTAACAAATAACTAAACCTCTCTTTCTTCTTCAGAGGATGGAGAGTTAAGGAGAACACTGCAGTCATTAGCCTGTGGCAAAGCTAGAGTTCTGGCAAAAAATCCAAAGGGCAAAGATATTGAAGATGGTGACAAGTTCATTTGTAATGATGATTTCAAACACAAACTTTTCAGGATAAAGATCAATCAAATCCAGATGAAAGAAACGGTATTTCTTTCACTTTCTCCTAGTCCTAACACACTGGAATTATACATGTTAATAATCAAAATATATAAAGATTTTATACCTGTAATACTGCCAATACCATTAACATTTTCTGTGCTATGTCCAGCTAAATATATTTCCGTATTTGATTTTGGGTTTTTGGGAGAGTGCTTGTACAGGATTGGGTTGATACTCAACATGGTTTTATATCCTACTTTGTTTATTTAATATTCAATCTTTAGAATTTTTCCATGCCATTAAATAGCTTCAAAAAATGGCAAATGGCAGTGTAATATTTTTACATGGCTCTTACAGTTTATTCAACCACTGTTCATTTTGGGGCAATTAAATTCATGACTTTTTAGTATTATAAATAAAATTGCAAGAAACCTCTTTGAACCTAAATTTTAATCTCTTTGATATATGATAAATGTGTGGAAGTAGATTTTTTTGGGTTAAAGGGTATGAACATTTTAGGAGTCTTAGTACATAATGTCATATTGTGTTCCAGAAAGACTGAACCAGTTTATACTCTGTCCAGCAGCATATGAGAGCCTGTCTTACTATTGGGTCCACCAGCACTAAAGATTATATTTTCTTTTTCCAACTTGCTTGGTGAAAAATCTGAATGATTTATTCACTATTTGTTTGATTAACAGTGAAGGTGGGCCAGGCACGGTAGTTCACGCCTGTAATGCCAGCACCTTGGGAGGCCGAGGCGGGTGGATCACCTGAGGTCAGGAGTTCAAGACCAGCTTGGCCGACGTGGTGAAACCCTGTCTCTACTAAAAATATAAAAATTAGCTGGGCGTGGTAGTGCGTGCTTGTAGTCCTAGCTACTTGGGAGGCTGAGGCATGAGAATCACCTGAACCCAGGATGTGGAGGTTGCAGTGAGCTGAGATCGCGCCACTGTACTGCAGCCTGGGTGACAGTGAGACTCTGTCTAAAAAAAAGAAAAAAACAAAAACAGTGAAGGTGAATATTTTGTTTGTTTTTGCCGTTTGAATTTGTAAGAGACTTCCAACTGCAGCATCCTGAAACTGATGGTTTCAGTTCCAATAAGGTTTAATGCAATATTTGAAAAAAAAAATTTTTTTTTTTTTTTTTTTTTGATATGGAGTCTCACTCTGTCACCCAGGCTAGAGTCAGTGGCGCGATCTTGACTCACTGCAACCTCTGCCTTCTGGGTTCGAGTGGTTTTTCTGCCTCAGCCTCCTGAGTAGCTGGGACTACAGGCGTGCACCACCACGCCCAGCTAATTTTTGTATTTTAAGTAAAGATGAGTTTTCACCAGATTGGCCAGGCTAGTCTCAAAACTGCTGACCTCACGATCCACCCACGTCGGCCTCCCAAAGTGCTGGGATTACATGTGTGAGCCACTGCGCCCAGCCGAGAAAAGTTTTAATGTAGGACAGCGACCGGTATCTTCAAACAAGTTCCTGTCATTTTCACATACACATCAAAGGATATTTTCTTAAAGGATTACCGTGTCCTTACTTTTAAAATGTTTATGCTGTACCAGGAAGAAACTGCTGCAAAAAGCCCAGACTTTTTTTGGTTTAGTTACGAAAGATGAACATTTTTGCTTTAGCATCAAGATTGGTAAACCGCCTCCTAAATACCTACATGTCTATAAGTCTTGAAGGATTGTAAGCATTAATGGCATGCATGTCTGATTTATATATTACAAAATAAAAATTAATTTTCAAAGAGTTTGACTCTTAACTAGTTTGCTTAGCCAGTTAATACCATGCCTTGAGTTGGGTCAGACAGAGTCAGTCACTTTATAGAAAAGCTATTGTCATAGAGAAATCTGGTTAACAATCCATTGAAACTGATACACATATTTAGAAGATATCAAAGACAGAGTAAAAAAACAAAATGTTAAATTCCATATCAGCTATCTCTACTTCTAGAAAAGCAATTCAAAGATGATGTTTTTCTATTAACTAATATTAGCATTACTTCATTGGTATAGGGCAATATAATCAGAACAGAAAGGAGTTATGTTTGTAGGCTTTTTCTCTGTCAGCATCTATATTTATAAGACCCCAATTAGAAAATTCAGTACCTTTAAAGCAATAACAATGCCATATCCCTAAAATGCACAATTTATGTAAATAGTCAGGTTTTGCTTCTGGTATAATTCTTAGGTTTAAAACTTTTTTGTTAGGTTGAAGAACAAGCAAGCACTACAGAAAGAGTATTTCAAGACAGACAATATCAAATTGATGCTGCAATTGTTCGAATTATGAAGATGAGAAAGACACTTAGCCACAATCTCCTTGTTTCAGAAGTGTACAACCAGTTGAAATTTCCAGTTAAGGTAGGTACTTCTGTGTTTTCCTATTGAGCGTGTTTAAAAGAAAGTAGGTTAGATTTTCAGATACAAATCTTGCAAACATAAAGCGTCATGACCATTTAGAGAGAGAAAAGTTTTAATTTTCCATGTTGATGCATATGATTTCCAAAAAAACTTTGTTGGCATATGTGGGCAGCAGTGACAAAAGGGGAAAATAACAGAAAATCCTGGATACCTGAAAGTTTAACTGCTAAGTGAGTCTTTGAAATTTTCAAGTTTATTCACTATATTTCTTTTGAACTTCTTGGTTGGTTTATTTACTACTTTTCCTCTTGAAATACCATGGTATTTGTTGAAATACCATGGTATTTGACAGATTCGGTTATTGTGGATTGAGTTAAATCTCCTGTTTAGTTAGCTTATATAAGAGATCATCTGTTAAAGACCATGCAGATAACTAGTCATCATTAAGCATCTTTTTGAAAAGTGTAGTGATAGTTCTGGTAAACTGAAATTGGTCATTAAATGGAAATGTTCCACTGTGAGTGCCCAATAATAAAGTCACTTAATGTGATGTCGTACTGGCCTATTTTCCAAGTTTTAGGAGGTAGATAGCCAAACCCTTGGATGATAAACATTGATAGAGTTTGAATAGACTGCTAGCTATTAGGGTTCTTATGAGCTTTAGACTTTCATAAATCACTTCACTTTGCTGATCTTGTTTCCTCTTTTGTAAAATTGAGATAATAGTGCTTACCTTGTAGGATTATTGTGAGGTTTAAATGAGATCATGAATGTAAAAATCTTAGCACTGGACCTGGTACATAATAAGCACTCTGTAGCTCTTAGTTCTAATAAGGTAAGCATTTTCTTTTCTCCAAACCTAATATTGCATTCCTTATTACCACACTCTTACCCTCATGCTCTGCCTAACAATCATTTCAGCTGAAGCCAGAGAGATCACTGATGCTGGGGAAATTAGGGAATCGCTGTAGTTAATATTGTGCTGATATTCTAGGTCTTTCACTGTAATTAAGATAAAGTCATTTGATTTCCAAACCTTGGGATTTCTGGATAAAATTTTCACTGCTGCATCAGACTGTCTCACCTCTTTTCCCCTCTTGAACAAGTGGTCATTTTACTTATACTGAAAAACTTTCTATTAGCAAACAAGATTATATTATATTTACAGGCTAGATACATAAGATATATAGTGGAATTTTGTCATCCAGGAGCTTAGAATGCAATCATGAAGATAAAGCTACAAGCTTTCTTGATTACTTTTAAATCACAGGATGCAGAAATCCAAGTCAGATGCATTAAACCAGAAGTATGAAGATCTAAATTATGAGGTACTTCATTTATCAAGCCATTTCATGTAGTTTTTTTTTTTTTTTTTTTTTTTTTTTTTTTTTTTTTTTTTTTTTTTTGAGATGGAGTCTCACTCTGTCATCCAGGCTTGATTGCAGTGGCGTGATCTCGGCTCACTGCAACCTCCGCCTCCTGGGTTCAAGCAATTCTTCTGCCTCAGCCTCTCAAGTAGCTGGGACTACAGGTGCGCACGACCACGCCTGGCTAATTTTTGTATTTTCAGTAGAGACAGGGTTTCACCATATTGGCGAGACTGGTCTCAAACTCCTGACCTCATGATCCGCCCACCTCAGCCTCCCAGAGTGCTGGGATTACAGGCATGAGCCACTGCACCTGGCCAGTATTCTTTTAAATAGTGATTTTTTTTTTTTTTTTTTTTTGAGATGAAGTCTTCTTGCTCTGTCACCCAGGTTGGAGTGCAGTGGCGTAATCTCAGCTCACTACAACCTCCACCTCCCAGGTTCAAGCAATTCTCCTGCCTCAGCCTCCCTAGTAGCTAAGACTACAGGCACCCGCCGCCGCACCTGGCTAATTTTTGTATTTTTAGTACAGATGGGGTTTTGCCATGTTAGCCAGTCTGGTCTTGAACTCCTGACCTCAGGTGATCCACCCGTCTTAGCCTCCCAAAGTGCTGGGATTACAGGCATGAGCCACCACACCTGGTCTAAATAGTGATTTTGTCAATACATTTTAAATCTTAATTTATAAAAATTAAGCCAACTAACTCTTGCCCAAAGTAAAGGTGTAATTCACAAACTATCTTGACAAAACTAGTATTCAGTGTTCTTAAACTACCTTATAGTCCTCATGTGAAGTTACAATAAATGTAGTCTTTTGTATTTAACCACGCAAAGGGTAGCTGCTTCTGGCATGACCTCTTTAAAATAGAAAAGTAATAGAAAGTATTGCGTAACAATATGACAAGGGTGTGACAGTTTAATGTATGTATAGTATATAGTACGGGTTGAACACCTTTAATGAGAAAATCCAAAATCTGAAATGCTCTAAAATTGGAAACTTTTTGAATGCCAACATGATGCCACGGGTGGAAAATTCCACACTTTACGTCATTTGACAGGTTGCAGTCAAAACTTTGTTTCATGCACAAAAGGTATAAAATTATCTTCAGGCTATGTAAGGTATATATGAAACATAGATGAATTTTGTGTTTAGACTTGGGTCCCATCTCCATGATATCTCACTATGTATATGCAAATATTCCAAAATGAAAAAATCAGGACCAGGCAGGGTAGCTCATACCTGTGAGTACTGGGATTCCAGTACTTTGGGAGGCTGAGGCTGGGGGGAATCACTCAAGAACAAGAGTTTAAGGTAAGCCTGGGCAACATAGCAAGACCCTGTCTATTTTTTTAAAAATTAAGAACTATTAAAAAAAATTAAAAATCGAAAACATTTCTGGTGTTAAAAAATCTTCAACATAGCTGAGCATGGTGGCTCATACCTGTAATCCCAGCACTTTGGGAGGCCGAGGCAGGTGGATCACCTGAGGTCAGGAGTTTGAGACCAACCTGGCCAATATGGTGACACCCCGTCTCTACGAAAAATACAAAAATTAGCCGGGCATGGTAGCTTGTGTCTGTAGTCCCAGCTACTTGGGAGCCTGAGGCAGAAGAATCGCTTGAACCCAGGAGGTGGAGGTTGCAGTGAGCCGAGGTGGTGCCACTGCACTCCAGGCTGGGTGACAGAGTGAGACTCCGTCTCAAAAAAAAAAAAAAAAAAGAATCTTCAACGTGTATAAAACATTTTTAAACCTGGTTTATTTTCATGATATTTTTCTCTAAAAAAGATATTTAAATAAATAAAAATTTTAAAAAAGGAGATTAAATTCGTGAGCCAAAACTGTTGTCTTTTTAATGGGGTGTTAACTAAATGGGCTTGAGCCAATGATAATGAACTTTACATTGAAAATTTGCCTTCTCTTACAGCCTGCTGATCTTAAGAAGAGAATAGAATCTTTAATTGACCGGGACTACATGGAAAGAGATAAAGAAAATCCAAACCAGTACAACTATATTGCATAGAATGTTGCAGCATTTGGTGTCATATGCAGTAGCCAGTGGATAAACTAACCTGTTGATTCAATATTATTTGACTCCTTTTTTACTACCGATGACCAAATGAAGCAGTGTAATTAATGGAAATAGTTGAGTGGACTTTTTCTCAGTGGTTAACATGCCCATTTTAAAGAGTAATACTTACCTTTAAGAAGAATGTTGTTGAACTCTTTGCATGTTATTTAGTATGATGTGCAGAAAACACTTAAGAACGTACCTGGTCTTCATGAATTCCTCTTTGGAACTGGGAAAGAGATCCCTGTGGCTATTAAAAATGGGGGAGGGTTCTTATATACCATTAATTATGAAGCAAAAGGTTTATTTGCTTAAAATGTCATTTAAAGATACTTAAACTGCATGCAAACTTTATTTACTGTACAGAGTTCTGGATGTATTTATCAAATAGAAAAACCACCCTTGACTTGGTTGTTCACCCGTTTTGTGATTTCCCTTGAAAAGAGAAATGAATTGTCATAGCTATTGATATTTTACTAGGTAATGTTCTGTTACACTGAAAGGGATGTTTTTTAAAAAAATTATTTGGAAACAAGTTTTCAAGTAGGGGGACAGTTGCTTACATAATATCTTGTATATTCACATCCTAAAAATTTTCATTTATGAGTATGGGATGTGTATATATGTCTTAGCCCCAAGTTAACTGTGCTGATTAACAAGTACTTATAAAAATAGCTAAAATAGAAAATTAATGATCAGTTGTACTAGAGGAACATCATAGAAGAGAAAAATCCAACTCTTTCTTTATATTAAAAATGAATACAATAAGAAAATTGCAGAAGAGACCAAAATGAACGTGTTTTGTAAATTGTTACAGGAGCAAAAACTTCTCAACTAGTTTTCAACATACTTTAGACTTTAAATGTTGTTTGGACAGTTTTGTCTTCAACTTGGACCAATTGTAGATTGTTACAGGCTTCCCAGGATTTAGCATTCCTATTTTCTCTACCAAAGTTTTTTTGGAAGCATCCCAACTCTTCTCTTTGTTGATAAATAAGCCTTTCCTGTCATCTTCATTTTAACTTCCTAAAACCCTAGATACAAAGGTCCTCCCTCATTTTTCCCACACAACCCCTGTTTGGGAATTTGAGATTCTGTGTCATGCTGGTTTTCCTTTCAGAATTGCTTGAAATTGAGTTCTCTTAGCCACTGGACACCTAGTTTTCAGGAGAATGTCCCAGGATTGTTTATATATACAAAATGGCAAAAGTACTGTTTTTCGAATTGATAATTCAAGCAAAAGGCTTCTCTTTACCATCAGTGTTTGTTTTTGTTTTGCTTCCTTGTTTCTATTTCCTTGAAGCTTTGAAGGGAGGAGAAGCAGAAAATTTTGTTCTTGTTTTTTAAAAATCAGAACTACTTAATGCTTTTTGCCACAGCATATTTCCTTGCCTGTTGGAGCCGTTAGGAAGATTACCTATGTCCTAATCTTCAACCTGAGGAGATTTTTGACTCTTGTGTCTACTGTTGATTGTTTTCTTGAGTTCTCAAAGACCTGTGGCCAGGTATTTTAAAAAGTTGCCTATTTCTTTCTAGTTGCATCAACTTGCACACTGGTGTCTAACTATATGTGGTATTCGGAACTTGTAATTCTTATTGAGCAGCCATTGCCTGTATTTTCTCAGCTCCTCACTGATTTCTTTATATGAGCTCAGCTGACAAGCAAATGCAGCTATTTTGTTTGCCCTCTCTTCATACCGTACGATCAACAACAGTGTTCTAACTCATTTCTGATGGTCTGTGAGATGTAGACTATTACACAAGATTCAGGTTACTTGTAAGCAACTTTTAGATAGAGTTGGTCCTGTTAGGAGGAGACTCTTGATATCACATTCGGTATCTTGACAGCAGGTCCCCTCCCTGAGGCTCTTAATTCTTTGAAAACTTGATGCTGTTTCAGCTGAAAAATTAGCAAGACTTAAAAAAACAAGTTGAGGGGAGCTGTTTAAGAAACTGAAAAGTAATTGCAAACTACATTGGATAATTGTGACTTTCAGTTGTTGTTCTGTATCAGTTGAATTTTTGTGCTCTTTTCCCTGTGTACGTGGTGGTTCTATTTTTCTCCAATAAAACTTTTATTTAAAAAAAGTTTCTAGAGAAGATCTTTAAAATTCAAGTATTGTAAGAAAGTTATAAAATCACAGGACTTAAAATCTTCCTAACAACTTCTAATGAACTCAATTTGTCAATTTTGTTATTTTTAAACTTTTTAAAATTTTTGTGATGATTTTGTGATAATGCTATATAAGTATGGGGGAGGGCATGGTTAACAGGGTGAGGAAAATTCCCAGGAATCCTCAAGGTGGATAATTATTCTTAAACATGCGGATACAAGTATAAACATTGCTTCATTCAAATCTTCAGTGTCAAATTGTTTCATAAAGTCACTATGAAATGAGTCTGGGTTTGAGTTCAGGGGAGAAGAAAATATTACTCTTAATTATGGCATTTGATTTGCCTTTTCTGTTAATAGTTTTTTGAGTTCTGGGCCAAATAATCTCATCGTAAGGTGTTCTCAAAGTTTTTGAACCCAGTTCTTGAGTCTGCTTGAATGGTCTTAATATGATGTCTAGCCATACATACTCTTGATATTTTTGCTGTATATATGAGTGTACAGTTCAGAAAACCAGTTTATTTAGGCATCTGGTTCTAAAGATTTGAGAAGTTCGGTTTTTTATCTTGATATTCATAAATCTTTTAAAATGAGCTGGTTTTTGTTTGTTTTCATGACCACTCTGATGCTGTGAATGGCAGGAGTGTCGTGAGCATGTTCTGTTCTCTTATTTACATAAAATTGCCGAAACAAATTGTTCATTAAAAAGAAAAGAGCAGCACTGATGAGAATTTGCATAATTATGCTTTGTAAAGTGATATCTTGCTAATGCTTCATTAATGAATATTTTTCAGTGTCCTACAAAAAAATCTGCTTTACATTTGAATATTGAAGTTTGTTCACCTGCAGACACTTGGTTCAAATCAAACACTTTGCTCAATTATTTTCCTTTTTCCTCTTGCTATTATAAAAAAGAGTATTTCTTCTTTTAAATGGACACATAATGTACCTTTATGTTTAACAATCCTTAGAAGTCATCTCTAGCATAGTGAAAAAGACCCTAACCTTTCTTTTGTAAAACCCTTTCTATTTGATGTAGAATATAAGAATGTGCTGCCTTGGCATGTTAGAACTTAATAGTTTTGCCAGCTATAACAACAGATCCTCCTCATTCTCTAATTTCAGAACTTTTCTTTATTTTTTGTTTTTCATTGTGGGTTACACACAAAATTTACCATTCTAACCATGATAAAGTATACAATTCTGACATTTACTACATTCACAATATTGTGCAACCACTATTATGTAGTTGCAGAACATTTTCGTCAACTCTAAAGGAAACTTGGCACCATTAAGCAGTCATTTCCCATTCCCCCTTTCACCCAGCCTCTGGAAACCACTGCTTTCTGTCTCTCTGGATTTGCCTATTCTGGATATTTCCTGTCAATGGAATCATTGTGTGACTTTTCGTATCTGGTTTCTTTCACTTAACATGATGTTTTCAAGGTTCCTCCACATCGTATGTATTGATACTTCATTCCTTTTTATGGCTGAATAATGGCATGTATATACCAGAGCTTGTTTATCCACTCATCAGGTGTTGGATATTTGTATGGTTTCCATCTTCTGGCTGTTGTGCATAATGCTGCCATGAAGATTTGTTTACAATTATCTGTTCAAGTCCCTGTTTTAAAATCTTTTGGGAATATACCTAGGAGTGAAATTGCTGGGTTATATGATAGTTCTATGCTTAACTTGTGGACGAACCACTAGACTTTTCCACAGCAGCTACACCATTTTCTGTTCCCACCAGCAATGGATGAGGTTTCCAATTTCTCTACATCCTCAACACTTGCTGTTTTCTGGTTTTCAGGTGTTATCATAATCATCTTAGTGTGAAGTGGTAGTTCATTGTGATTTTGAATCTCATTTCTTTAATAATGTTGACCATCTTTTTATGTGGCTATTGGCCATTTGTACATTTTCTTTGGAGAAATGTCTATTCACATTTTTGGGCTGTTTTTTAAATAGGTTGTTTGTCTTTTAGTTGAGGTGTAAGAATTATTTTTATATGCTAATAGTTTCTCCAGTTCTGTGAATTGCCTTCTCACTCACTTGGTGGTGATCTTTGCACATGAGTTTTTAATTTTAATGAAGCCCAGTTTATTTTGTATCTGTTGCTTGTGCTTTTGGTGTCATATATATTTTTTTATTTTCACTTATAAGCTCTCTATTTGTCATGATGTCATATTTAAGAAACCGTTGCCAAATCATTGCTCATGGTTTTACCCCTATGTTTTCTTATAAGAGTTTTACAATTTTATTTCTTATGTGTAGGTCTTTGATCTTGAGTTAGTTTCTGTATATGATATGAAGTAAATGTTTAACTTTATTATTTTGCATGTGGTTATCTAGTTGTCACAGCACCATTTGTCAGAGAGACTATTCTTTCTGCCATTGAATAATCTTATCAACCCTTGTTGAAGATCAATTGGCCATAGCTGTATGGGTTTATTTCTTAAGTCTATTCCGTTTTTCTTGTATGTCAATCTTACACTGGCACTACACTGTTTTGATTACTGTAGCTTTTTAGTAAATTTTGAAATCAGAAAATGTTTGAGTGTTTCACCTTTCCTCTTTTTCAAGATTGTTTTAACTATTTGGGTACCTTACATATAATTCCATATGGATTTTAGGATCAGCTTTTCCATTTCTGCAAAAAAGGCCACTGGGATTTTGATAGGGATTGTATTGAATCTGTATATCACTTTGGGGAGTATTGTCATCTTAACAATATGAAGTCTTCTAATCCATGAACAAAAGATGTCTTTCTGTTTTTAGATCTTTAAATTTTTTTTCAGTGAAATTTTATACATGTCAGTGTACTTTTCTTGTATCTCCCTAATTATGTTCCTAAATATTTTGTTCTTTTTGGTGCTATCATAAATGTAATTGTTCTTTGAATTTACTTTTCATGCTATTCATTGCCAGTGTATACAACTGCATACAACTGATTTTTGCATGTTTATCTTGTATCCGGCATTTTTGCTGGATTTGTTTGCTAGCTCTTATGAATTTTTATGGATTTTTAAGGAGTTTCTATTTATAGCATTTTTGCCATCTACAGTTTACTTCTTCCTTTCCATTTTGGGTGCCTTCAATTTCTTGCCTAATTTCTCTGAGTGGGGATTTCAACAGGGTTAAATACAAGTAGCTAAAGTGAGCATCCTTGACTTGTTTCTGTTCTTAGGTGGGAAGCTTTCAGTCTTTCATCATTGAGTATGATGTTACCTGTGGGTGTTTTATAAATGCCCTGTATCTTATTGAGGAAGTTTTATTTCTCTTTTATTTAGTTTTTTAGAGATGGAGTCTCACTCCGTCACCCAGACTAGAGTGCTATGGCACAGTCATGGCTCACTACAGCCTCTACCTCCTGGGCTCAAGCAGTCCTCCCACCTCAGCCTTGCAAGTAGCTAGGACTACAGGCACCTGCTACCACACCTGTCTAATTAACATTTTTTTAAAAAAATAGAGACAGGGGTCTCACTGTGTTGCCCAGACTGGTCTCAAACTCCTGGCCTCAATTGATCTGCTTTCTTGGCCTCCCAAATTGCTGGGACTACAGGAGTGAGCCACTGTGCCCAGCCTGAAGTTTTCTTTCATTCTTAGCTTTCTGCGTGTTTTTATCATTAAAGGGTGTTCAGCTTTGTCAAACACTTTTTCTGTATCAATTGAGATGATCATGTGGTTTCCTTCATTCTATTCATGTGGTGTAGTACATTGATTTGTTTTCATATGTAGAATCACTCTTGCATTCTTGGCATAAATCCCATTTGGTCATGTTGCATAATCCTTTTGGTATGTTGTTGGATTTGATTTGCTATTATTTTTTGAAGATCTTTGCATCTATATTCATAAGAAATATTGATCTGTACTATTCTTACAATATCTTTGTCCAGCTTTGGTATCAGGGTAATGCTAGTGTTATACAATGAACTGTCAAGCGTTTGGTCTTCTGTTTTTTGGAAGACTTTGAGAAGGATTGGTGTTCATTCTTCTTTAACAGAATTCACCAGTGTGAAAGTCAGAAGATGAAGGAAAAAAAAGAAAATTCACTAGTGAAGCTGTCTGGTCCTAGGCTTTTCTTTTGTGGGATGTTTTCGATTATTTAGTACCTTACAGGTCTGTTCAGATTTTCTGTTTCTTTTTGCATCCGTTTTAGGTCATTTGTATATTTCTAGGAATTTGTTCTTTATTATTATTATTATTAGTTTGAGATGGAGTTTCGCTCTTTTCGCCCAGGCTGGAGTGCAGTGGCGCAATCTCGGCTCACTGCAACCTCCGCCTCCCAGGTTCAAGCGATTCTCTGTCCTCAGCCTCCAGAGTAGATGGGACTACAGGTGCACACCACGGCTAATTTTTGTGGTTTTTTTGTAGAGACGGGGTTTCACCATGTTGGCCAAGATGTTCTCGATCTCCTGACCTTGTGATCCGCCCGCCTCAATTTTATCTTAGATATCTAATTTGTTAGCATACAGTTGTCGATAGCAATCCTTTTTTCTTTTTTTGAGACAGGGTCTCACTCTGTCACCCAGGCTGGAGTGCAGTGGCACGATGATAGCTGACTGCAACCTAGATCTCCCAGGCTCAGGCAATTCTCCTACCTCAGTATCCCAGGTAGCTGGGACCACAGGCATTCACCACCACACCTAACTAGTTTTATTATTATTATTATTATTATTTGTAGAGATGGGGTCTTGTTGTGTTGCCCAGGCTTTTCTCAAACTCTTAAGCAATCCTCTCACCTCAGCCTCTCAAAGTGCTGGTATTACAGGCATGAACCATTGTGCCCAGCCTCATGGCAATTTTTTATCACCCTTTTTACTTCTGCGAGATCAGTAGTAATATCCCACTTTCATTTCTGATGTTTGTAACTTGAGTCTATTCTGTTTTTCTTTTTTTCTTCTTCTTCTTTTTTTTTTTTTTTTTTTTGAGAACAGGGTATCGCTCTGTTGCCCAGGCTGGAGTGCAGTGG